TGTTGGCCGATGCATACTATTCTCGCAAGCATCAACTTGAACAAAACCCTTCATCACAAGCTCCAGCATCTCAACCAGAAGCAACACTCACAAGTGCCGAATGCAACAACGATGCATACGACCCAATGTTACATCTCCATGATGCACAAAAGGGGAACTCTACAATTGATGAACTAACTGAATATCAGCTTGCACGTGATGCGCCTTCACAGGATGTTGCAATGGACCCTAACCTGGCATTGAAGTGGTGGCAGGTGAGTTCTCTTCATCTTCTTTTTTTCTTGTAAATTAGGTCAAGAGTCTGAAATTGAATTCTTTCATTGACAGAGCCACGAAGGAAAGTACCCTATTCTTTCAAGTCTAGCTCGCCAATATCTTGCTGTCAGTGGGAGCTCGGCCGCTGTTGAGCAAACGTTTTCATCAGCTGCGGATGTCTGCACCACAGACCGTGGAACATTAGTTCCAAGGACAATTGAACGTTGTGTGAGTAGTCGGCTATGGATTTCAAATGGAGTCCCACTAAATTCAGGATTTGAGGAGGCCTACCGGATTATGGAGGAGTGCATCGAGGATGATAAAGCTGCTCAGGTTTTACACAAGACTATGAACCAGCCTCCACATTTTGCTGGCGATTGAGTTCGTTCTGTTCATTGCTCTGTTCATTGTTCTCATTTCAAGCTTATGGACTTTTCTCTTCACAAAATGTATTTAATGAATGGTGTATAACAAGTGAAAAATTGATAGTAATTGTGTTGAAATGATAAGGCAAGCCATGCGATAGATCAAACAATAATTGATGTGCGATCCAAAGCCAAAGATAAAAAGAAATCAACAGAGTGAAGCGAGGTTTTTATGGTATTTTCTTTCAATTTCAAGTTGCATTCAATGAATATCAATAGAGAGCATCTCATTTGTGCATCCCTGATGTTGCCATGGAGTCAAACACAGAGAGCAAGATAAGTACCGGAAGTATAGAATTCCAGAGGTCGATACTATACTATACCCAGGGTAAAAAAAGTACCGGTGCCTACAGTACTATACTAGTATCGGCTGATACTGGTATAGGATAGTACAGTGGCCGCGTTGGCTGTAGGGTGGGTGGGATGGTTTTTGAAAATGAAATGATGTTATCTCTTTTATAGAAGTCGGAAATCTTTAGATTTGTGAATTCAAGTCTGAGGTGTATGAGAGCTCTGAGGCGTACAGAAACTGTGAAGATGAAAATTTTCACAGTTTGTACCACCTCTCCTTTGTGGTGTGGCTGGGTATTTCCCGGCCCTGTGTAGTGGCTCATACACTGTGTCATACGTCTTGATGGAACTCACCGGTGACGTCGTGCCTTTGGCCACCGGTGTCAATCCATCTTTTGACTGTGCCTTGCTCAGCTCTCATTATATTTTCTAAAAGGTTAGACTTGTTCACTCATATGCTCTCATCTAACTCTTAGTTTCTTTCTATCTGTTTTATTTCATTCTGATTTTTCTACTTTCTATTCCTTTCTAATTCGGGCAATCTTTATGTAGGTCTTCACCTTATACAGGTTCTTACCTGGTGTGGGGGGGGGCCATAGGCCCGGGGACGGCCTTTCCAAGAAAGGGTTTTCTACCACCCTATCTCTGGACGGATGGCGTCCTGAGCTCATCGGAAACCTGTCTACGACAGCAGTCCAGACTGTTCGCTAAATTCAGTTGATCTGTACAAACGGGATCTGCAATTCAATTGGGGTAAACTCAAATTTCTGCAACTCAATTGGGCTAACTCAAATTCTAAAATCTATCAGGTAATTCGATTTCTCGTGACTCCTTTACAGTTGTACGTTCTTTCCATCTCCCCTTATCCCCCTTCTTCACTTCCCCCTTTTAACTTCTTTGCCCTCTCTCTTCTCGGTCAATACGGTCTACACATGTCCGAAGATTTTGTCAGCTGCATTCTCGTCTATCTCCGTTACTGCCTTTCACTCACTCTGTCTGAAGCCTGCCAATCTTTGAACGTGAGAAGATCCCACAATTCTTTGGTTTCCCTCTTTTCGTCTGCACTATACTTCCGAAGGTATAATTGGTATGCCTTCGAGTGCCATCTCCCGATTGTCGTTATTTCCTCTATTGGCCGTTTTTCATTCCACCTGAAGGTGGCTCCTCCCACTCTGAAGGAGTGACCAGACAGTTGTGTTGTCTCATCATTAGATCTCCAGACTTGTTTAAAGATACCCATCAACTTCGATTTCGAAATCGTGCTTCGTTCTCCATTCTTTTCTAGGTATGAGAATAACGGGTCCTTCGGGCCCGTTTGATTGTCTCTGACCATTCTTTCGAGTGCCTCAGTTGCATCAAGATACGACCGCTGTGCTTTCAATTTGATATATTGTATTTGGCCTGGTTTTGCCGTCTTCGCGTTGAATAAAGCTATTGTCACTCTTTCACCATTACCCATCACTTGTAAATCTTTTAACCGAATCAGCTTCTTCTTCTTATCATCCGATACCAACTCTCCGAGCCTCGCCATTCCCCAGAATGCTACCAAGGCTATCGTCAATGCCACCTGATCTCTCTTGCTCCCATTCGCCAACTTCTTCAACAACTGTACTAGGTGTTTTATCATTACCGGTTTCTTTTGCTCCTTTTCTGACTGTCTTATCACCGTCTCCGCGATCTTCGAAGACTTGAGCAAGACTGATAGCTTTATGGGATCGTATTTGGGATACTCCTCGTCATGGAATAAATGCCAACTTTTTATACCAGTAAGATATTTCTTCAGGGTCTCTACTTCGATTGTTGCCGTTTTCTGATTGATTTTCTCTGTTTTCCCATCTTCTTCCAATTTCTTTCCTGCCCATACCACGAATTTGTATAACGTGTTTAATGACAAAGGCAATAACATCTCCCTTTTGTAACCTTTCTCCTCCAAAAACTTCAGCAACTTCGCCACTCCACTATTGTAGTTCACCAAAGTTGTCTCTGCCCAGCCTCCTGATAACATATGAGTTTGCACACTACTACTTCTCCAATTCGATTCTCCTACCACGTTCTGCAAGAACAATCTGATCTTATGCTCGACTTTCGGTGATATCATGCTTCCTCTAGTAATAGTTGCAGGTCTTCTGGTAAATTTATATGTATCCGATTTCCTAGCTCTTCTCCTTCGTCTATTCCTCTCGATAAACCGTCTGCGTTGTTGTCACCTGATTCCACTCTCTCTTCTGTTATGTCGCACTGGAGTCTTAGAAGTAAGTCCTGTATCTTTTTCCACTCTTCGTTCACAGGCTCACTTTTTGATTGCCTTTTGTTTATAGTCGATTCGGTAGTCGTGTTGTCCGTCTTGACCCAAAAGTTCCTGCCGCCAACCTTTGTCGAAACTTCCAGCATTAAGACTCCCAACCTTATCGCCGCCGTTTCGGCCCATGCTATGTCGCGACGTGTTTCATCCTCTAATAGGCCGATTGTCTGCCACCCTTCCTTCAGCCTGAATCTCACCCAACCATATACGGTTATGACGCCCATCCCAAAACCGCTGGCGTCACCTACCCAGCCGACTCGTTCTGGTTCCACTGCTGGTATGATCCTCCTTGGTTCGAAATTCGCCAGCGCTTCACGCCAACTTTCCAAGTCCTTCCTAGCTGCTCTCGATAAAAACCTCTTTGCATTTGTTTTCAACCAAGGATGGAGCCATGCGTACAAACCCCTCATATACGGTTTCATGTGAGGCAAGATGTACATTAAGTGCGCTATCTTTCCAATTGTCGAATCCGCTTCTTTCAAACTCCACGGGCCGTCTTCTTCTACCATATGGATCACCGCTGCCAATCTTTCTTCCAATTTTTCCTCCGGCAATCTTACCGTCTTGTCCCTTCCATTGAAGATGAACCCTAAATATTTCTGCTTGTCTGCAAATGCTCTAAGTTTATCACGATTGGTCTTCACACCCATTTCCGTGCTCAGCTGTACCACATCTTCAATCTGTAAGTCTTCTCCTTCCATCTTCACTATCATATTATCATCAACCCATCTAAAAACTCTCTTGATTCCCAAACATCTTTGGATTATCAGCCTCCAGGCATCCGCCACCTTTCCAAACGTACCGCACCCCGCTACTCCTCCAAAGGGGACCGCGATATCCATCCAGATCCTATTGTAGAAATCCTTGATCATCAAATACCTCCACTCTTCCTCTTTCGTGCAAGCTTGACGATAGGGTTTCTCCCAATCGTATATCGCAAGTAAAATTACCTCTTCGAAGTGTTCTCTGAAATATCTCGCCACTACATGAAAGTCGTCCCACGATGTGTCGAACTCGTGTTTATCCACCATTGAATTCACTGATGGTATGTTCTCGTCTGCCACTGGATATGAAAGATTGTTGATCATTCGTAAAGATCCGTCGTTATTTACGACGCTCCCCATTGGGTTTGTCCGGAAGAATCCCCACTTCGCATAAACTTCTTTGTGTGTGAACGGGCCGAAAACTCTTCCTGCTCCTTTTTCCTTTTGTAAGTTTCTCATAATCTTATCCTTCACCGCTAACGCCGAACTATGATTATCTGGTGTCCACCATTTTTTACTTCCTAGATAGTGTTCTGGAATTCCTTGGGTAGATCCATCCACTAGTCCCGCAATAACGTCTTTCACCTCTGCTTCGACTCCGCATTTCCTTGCTTGCTCTTTCCATTTTTGGATATTCATATCACATTTCGGTCTCAGAGGCCACTTCGTATGGAGCCTTGGTGGTCTCAACGGATCGTCTCTCGGTGACTCAGTCTCTCGGATTGGCGTCTGAGGCTCTTGTTCATTTCTCTCACTCAGGCTTATGAATCTGGGGTAACGAAATGGCAAATTCACAGTTCTCAGTATCTCTCTTTTCTCACAGTGTCACATCAATCTTTGTCTTTTTGGTGTGGTTTCATGTTTCTCTGGAATTCCTGTCATTTATGACATTAGGTGTCTCATTACTTCTTTCCTCACCACACCTAATCGACTTCTCAAGAAGGAAAGTACAACATGTTCTACTCACTGAGTCCCTGCTCCGTTCCCACTTCCACTTCCACCTGCCTGCTTCGCTGCCTTCATCGCCTCAAAGGCTCCGGGTCCAAACTTCGGAACTACGACTCCATTCACCGTAGAAGTAGGTCCTGAATTGAAGCTTCCTCTCGCACTTCCTCCTCTTCCTCCTACTCCCCTACTAACACCTCTCCCTCTTCTACCTTTTCCTCTCACTCCTTGATTTTGATTATAGAATCCACTTCCACTTGCTTTGACATAATCACTCTGGCCATGATTCCCGTGACTATGACCTGTGTTATTCTCGAGAAAGAATTGGCCGTTGGGTGGTTGCGTATAATTTCGACCTTGTTGAGCTAGGTGCGATAACATTTGACCTCCTGTTACAGCCGTGATCTGCTCGTAGGCATTTGAGATCATGTCCCATCCCACTTGGTACCTTCCCGTCATTGGGTTGACATTCTCCATTGCTCCACCTATGATGTACGGGTTGTCGAAATACCAATGGTCCTTATTGGCTTTCGAGTCCGTAATTGCTTGCTCTACTAACTCTTCGTTTCTCATTCCTACATCTGATAGTAATCCATCTGCTAACGTGTGACTGAATACATTTGTTCTATGAATTATGTCGTACCTCAACGCTGGGGCAAAAGCATCATGATACTTTGCCTTGATTTCCAGGACTATCTTATAATGTTCTTCAAGCCGTGTTGCAATGTCTTCTCTTTCGTATTTCAACCTCCAGTATTGTATGCATAGATGGAACGAGGTCGACCACATCAAAAAACTCTGTCTCCATTCGCTCGGGACTCTTAATCCTACGTAAGCCACCACATCCAAACAGGAAGAGCTTTGTTTCCTTCTATTTGACATATGATTTTTATCTGCCAATAGCCAAGCCGGTACGAATATAGTGAGAGGAACATAACCGAAGCAAGCCGACATTCTATTATTTCAATAGGACGATAGGTCTATCAATCTGTGAGTCAACACTTGACCATGATTCATCTTCTTTCCAACCTTAGTTGCTTTCTCCGTCACTTGAGTTTTTGCTTTTCTTTTAGAGGTGCTTATTTCTAACTCTTCTTCTTTTTCGCTTGAACAGTCTAACATTTGGACTCCTCGTGGTTCGGTACCAATCCTCTCACACCATCTCCAATAAGTCTTTTCTAGCATTTCAAAGCAACCGGTGTTTCCTTTCCTGAAGTGTCTCGTCAATTCTGCAACATATCTTTCATGTTCTCTGTCGATATGCGCATCTTCTGCTACGAATTTTGCTTCATCCACTAAACACAACCACACCAGATCACAATTTCAGTCAGTCATTCTATCTATGCCTTTTCTTTCCACAATCTCTGGACTTCTGGACTTCTGGACTTTTCTGGACTTCTTCTGGACATTTCCTACACAAGCACCGCCAACATATTTACCTCGGATTTTGTAATCCGAGGTATCCTCGGATGCAAAACCTCGGACAGAAGCTTCCCGAGGTCTTGATCCGAGGTGATTCTCAGTGCAAAAACATCCCTCGGGCAAAAACCTCGGACAAGGTCTGTCCGAGGATTTGCCTACGATGACGCCTCGGATTTTTCAACCCGAGGCATCTATGCTGGCAGTGAAGCTTTGAGATACGACTCTTTTATAATTTTACAGGACTTTAAGACTTCAGGACTTCAGGACTTCTTTTGATCTTTACACGACACTTTTTAACACACGATTATGTTCCACCCGTGTGGCTACATTTTTCTGAACTCAACTGTGGTTGTTATTCCACCATCCACCAAGCTAGAAGAAAAATTGAATTTGACAAGTGAATTCTTGTTGGGCTTACCTAACGAGATGATGTCCTCTTCTTCATCCTCATCCTCAGTAAGCTTCTCACCCTTTCCCTTCTTTCTCTCTTCTTCTCCTTCGTTGACCTCTTCTTTATTCGTCTCTTCTTTGTCTATGTCCGTTAACGCACTATCTTCTTCATTTTCTTCTTCCTCAGGTTCTTCTATAGGTTCCCTGATTTTTCCTTTCACCGTGCTTCTCGTTTGTCGTGTCGTTGTTGCTCCGCCTTTTCCTCTTTTCCCACCTCTTCCTCTACTTCTGTTTGATTTACCTCTTCCTCTTCCTCTGGTCGAACTTCCTACTTCTTGATTTTCTTTTTCTTTTTCATGTTTTGATAAAATCATTTCTACGTCTTTATTGAAAATTTCTGTTGAGCTTTGTTCTTTTGACATGATTTCTCTGTTGTCTCTTTTAAATATTGATATATTTTGAAAATGAAATGATGTTATCTCTTTTATAGAAGTCGGAAATCTTTAGATTTGTGAATTCGAGTCTGAGGTGTATGAGAGCTCTGAGGCGTACAGAAACTGTGAAGATGAAAATTTTCACAGTTTGTACCACCTCTCCTTTGTGGTGTGGCTGGGTATTTCCCGGCCCTGTGTAGTGGTCATACACCGCGTCATATGTCTTGATGGAACTCACCGGTGACGTCGTGCCTTTGGCCACCGGTGTCAATCCTTCAGTGAGTGTTTATACCTGCCGTCTCTCTTTCGTTTAGGGTTATTCACTGTTCAATCCATTGAATGATTACCAATTTTCAGGCAATCTCTTCAAGACCCCATTTCCAACGTCTCAAAGCCAAGGTGACGGTTCTACCCCATGCGGCCTTTCTCTTTTTGGGTTGAAAAACCACGGAGCCCTCAGAAATGGAATGGGTGCAAGTTGTCTTATCCTACTCACCTGAGAACCCATTCTCATGTCTGATTTCACAGGTTTGGGATTTGAAGGTCCATCTGGAGGCCGTCCTGACATGCTGGGTGCCCGTCAATCCTTCAGTATGGCGGGGGCTGGAGCGTTGTAGAACTTAAAGCTCAACAAGAGCTTTACAGAGCTTAAAGAGGGATAATCTACTAATATAACCAACTAGTAGAAGTTGCCTAAGACTGCCTCTTTGAAAGAATCAACACGGGGTTTTGCTGAATTCTTTGGGATAAGGCACCAGAGAAATTGTTTTCAATACTTAAGTCAAGTATTATTCCCGTGAGTTTTTAGAAATAAAGAAACCTCAACACTGCTATAGTGTTATTCCAATCTGAGCACAACAAAACACTCTTTTAATTACTAGCAAAGCAAAAATCAATTAGATTGTTATTCCAAAGAAGACTTGTAGTCTTATCACACGTAACGAAATCTCTCCTTTGATATAAAGGGGCAATTTAGTGAACTTAGTACTGATAAAGTAATTTAATGATGATTAAAAACACTCTGACAAAAGTATAAGATGAGTAAAAAGGGGAACAAAGCCACGTAAATTCCCTAACAATAGTATATAACACTCCAACAATCCTCAATAATGGTCAACAACCTCCAAAAAACCTTCAAAAACCGTCAAAAATCAACAGAACTCCTCCAATGTGACCATATGATGTCATGAATATTATTGTTTTTAATGAGCTAAGGCGTGAATTTGATCAATTGATGTTAATAAATGATGAACAGATCTTCTTATGATGAATACAGGTGATCTTTTCCTAATATTCATAGCTGAAATCCGTTTTGGAATTACAAATCTTTTGTAAAGTTGTTCAATTTTGGATTACTATAGCTCATTTGATAGCCCTCGTGATACTGATCATTTATCACCCCCATATGACCTATTTCCGATGTGTGATGAATAATTTATTGAGTTGTAAAGATTGAGAAAATAAGCTTTTGTCATCTAAATTACATAAACTTAAATCCCTAAGCACCCCCCTTAAACAAATTCAGCCAGCATTTATGCTATGAATTCGGCTTAGGGCGCGAGGCTATGAGGGTGTTACACATCTGCTTTAAGGGTGATCCAAGGGTCATTTGACCAAAGGGACCCGCAGAATGCGTTGAGGGACAATCTCAGTGCTGAAGTCCATGAGATATTTATACCTTTCTCCTTCCCTACAGACTTTGCCTACGCCCAACCGTTATTTTTGAAAGCAATCTCAAAAATAATTACTATATCTGCGAAAGCATAAAAGCACTATGGCTTTTTAAAAGCATATACACACAACGTGATCTACTTCTTTCCATACGCCTCTCTGTTGTTTTTAAACACAACCCCAACGGATATCACTAAAAGCAAACAATAAAAGCATATTTTTGTCCGTCCGCTCTTTTACACAGATCGATTGCGAAAATTATTGTTGCTTTTTAAAAGCCTCGATTTAAACAACACTGACTCTGCTTTTGAAATACCCTGATTGTATTACTTGAAAGCAACTCTCTTGAAATGCACTCTTTCTTCAAAAGAAGTTCTACCGTCGTCGGATTGCTCCCTGCAATTAAGCTTTCTACCGTCATCGGATTGCTCCCTTCAATTAAGCTGTTCATTCAAATGTTCCTTGCATTCTATTGTCCTTCAAAATGCACCCTAATTTCTAAAGCTCTACCTTCAAAAGTAGTGCTGTTCCAACAGAACATTTACGCACAATTTATTGCTATCTTCTATTCATATGTTGTTCCGATTTCGCCACACACTCCTTCATATTTTGGAAAAGCAACCTTGCCAAAAAGCAATGCTGCTTACAAAGAATCATCTTTACTTTTCCATCTCTTCTCTAACAACTATCTATAATTCGATCAATCATCTAAAAGCCTCCAAAAGCATGCTTTTTGTTTTCCTCCTACCACTTCCATTTCAACATTGAGTTCCTCCCCATTCATTATCTTTCCCATCTATCTCTTCTAATGAATGCTCTTATCAAACGATGACAATAGAACCTACGGGTCCCCCACTTGAAAACATTCACAATGGTCACCACCGTGAATATAGGTCCTCCAACATGGAGAAACCAAACTTCCTATGAATTACCGAAGATCTCGCCAGCCACTCAGCCGCTCTCTCAGACATCAGACTTCTGTGAGAAAAGTAGGAGTACGAAGTCGATGCGGAGTGCTTGTAGGGCCTCTACTTCCTACAACACTCCTTCTGAGCACGAACACGTTTGTTATATTATAGTGAATGACACATCTGAAATTGGCTTCCATCCTATCACCCATTGTAACCCTTCAGCTTGTCCACGTCGCACCCTTGAATTTTGAGCATCAGAAGGTGCATCTTTATCAGCATCTTTCAGAAAAGTTTCAATTAACTCTCCATATATATTTGTGATGAGGGATCTGGTCATCTTTTCTGAACTTCTATGAAGGCTTAGAAAACTTTGTATCACATTTTGGACTGTATTGGACTATCATGGGTACTCAGGCTCATTGAGTTGTCTAAAGACACACCAATGAGCCTTGGTGAAGGTTAGTGATTTATCTCTTTGTATCAGTCAAAAGTCAACAGTCAGACAAAATGATGATTTGTCGATATTTTGACCTGTGCTTGCTTCTTGATTTCTAGATTTTACGCATCCAGCTCATCTTGAACTACACCTAAAACTGATCCAACTGTCAAACAATGCACTCAATCCAAAAGAAACAAGGATCAGGCCCAAGGTCAACCGCAATTGTTCATATCACTCTCCCAAAGCCAAGCTTGATTTAAGAAAGGTTTCATGTATTAGAGTCATCAGTTTATTCATCTCCAATAATATCAAAAACCGTAACAGATTGAAACTTGATTTAAAAGGGTCAATAGAGAAAAACTTAAAATCGAGACACTGCAGTTCGATCAAGATCATTATTTAATTTATCAGCTGAATGGAATACAATTTCTCTGGTCAGCATGCTTTCCACCAAGGGATCACACCGCCTGTGCCGCCTTTACACTCAGTTCACTTTCATCTGAATGTATCAAATTAGTATCATTTTTGGCAACATATCTTGATTACGACTTTTTGATTTTCTCTTCTAGACCATGAGATTTCATAGACAATTCTTGTTCTTTTCTTTTTTGACTCTCTATCTGTCTGCCATTGCTGTTAGAGCGATGAGGTTCACTGTGTATCCATAACAATAATGAGATGGAGAATAAATCTATATACAAGATCCTGAACATGGCCATATTTATAGACAAGTGTCTTCGTGAGTATGACCTCCATTTATCCTCTTGTAGCAATTGATGATTATTCCCCCATTGGTCTTGAAATGTACTTTCCTCTGTCTCAACAGAAGATTTTTGTTGGTTTTGTGTGGAATTTGATGAATTTATCGAATCTGAATGTTTTGAACTATGACAATTTGATATCATTGATATAGTTTTGATTCATTCCAGACCTAAGAGCACAGGTATAATTCCAAGTGCAAGTACCAAAGATCAGAATACAATCAAATTCTATTTACATATTTTGCAAATACTCAAAGTGGAGGTGACATTTGAAGTTCTGCCATGAGTCCATATAAGACTTGAAATAATTGTGCTTGTAAAAGGATTTAGAACTTGGAGTTAAAACTAAACTGGGATGTTAGGAACTACCAATGGAAGGTGATCAGTTTGATGACTGGCACAGGTAATCAATTTCATATACACCCCTGTTTTTCAAAATTTACTTCATGTTCTTGACAAATCATGTGTGTTGATATTCCTTGTAATCTAGACTGAGCACATATGTTCCGCTTGAGGTGCAGTAATACCTTGTTTGGTGGGATATTTTAACGTAATTGACATTGCAATATATGTAACCAATATAGCAGACTGTGCAACAGGGGCATTATACTTTGGCAAGGGACTTTGTCAAGTTTTTGCTTACAGGAACATGAACTGTGATGTTGAATTTTTACACACTTTGTGGCGGGCTTGCCCGCCTATACTCTAGTGTTATATGTAACCACCAAATTCGAAATTCACTCCAGTTTCTTTGTTGCCTTATAACTTTTTCACTACTCCTCCGTTACTAATGATTTAAAGGTTGTACAATATTAAACCAATGAATTTGCTTCGAATGAACTATTACACACCCAATTCTGACAAGTTTTGACATATGTAATAAACTAAATATCTCCATTTTTGATGAATTTTGATCATTTTCACGTCTAATAATGATTTTTCTTCTATCAAAAGATCATCCCACAGCATTCCAATCAACCACACAACCATAAAATCCTTCTGAAAAACCCTTGGCGCAATCAATCCTTCAATGAAATCACTACACAGGAATTAATACCATAGTACCCTTTTTCAAAATACCCCTTTCTTGAATAATTTCACACCTCCCTTACCAATCCTCGTGATTAAAGTTGCTGATGACTAATGTTGTACCTCTCTTTTATAATACAACCTTCCTGAACCAATAACTCTTATAATAATAACCTAAAAATTATTTTCCAACCTTCCATACCCATATTTTTGAAATTTCCTTCAACTTTTCTAATGTTATCCTTCTTCTTTCATTCTTTTCATAACAGTTTCCATCCGTTAAGATCCAAACTAAATGTTCTCCTTCTGCCAATCCCTCCTTACTAATTCTTTTAATTCAATTTTCACTCTTATACTATTTTTATTGATCTTTTCGAATTTTTCTTTTCTCTTAAATGTTCTTATCAAATGAATATGTAAATATATGATTAGAAAGATAATGAAATGAAGATTACAAATCAACTTTGAGACCCTTGATGACTAATAACTCCAACAATAACTTTGCCTTTGACTAAAAATACAAATTTTCCAATAATTTTTAATTTTTTTGCTTAAGTAGAGATCTTGCTCACCACAGCGTACTCAGGTAATGATCAACACTGTAGAACTTATAACCCAACAAGGGTTATACAGAGCTGGAAGAGGATAATCTACTAATATAATGACTAGTAGAAGTTGTCTAAGGACTGCTCTTCTAAAACAACACAATCAGGAAAGACTCTGTTGTATTGAGTACTGATAAGGCACCAGAGAAATGTATCTTCACACGTATTTTAACTTCAAAAGCACACTTTGTATTACTATCAACACTGCTATAGTGTTATTCCCAATTGATAACTAAAGAAATAAGCAATATCTGATTGATATTATTCCCAATAAGTCTTTATGACTATAATACTAAAGTAAATTTCTCTTTATAGCTGTAATAAAGGGCGTATTTAAGTGACCAGGTACTATTAGAATAAGTTTATGATGATAAACAGAATAATGGCAGCGTAAATGATAAAGAAAAAAGGGTAACAACAGTCCAAAAACCCTCTCAAAGTATATATAACAATGTACTAGAACTTTTACAATGGTCAACAACCTCAAAACCAATCAAATCCGCCCAAAATTCCCTAAAATCCCTATGATGACGCAATGTAATGATTTTGTTACTAATAAATGATGTAATTTTCACAGCTAAAAGTGATCAATGACGCAATGATATGATGTACAGCACTTCTTATGATGAATACAGGTGATTTTTTCCTTGTAAACTAGCTGAAAACCAATTTTTGAGATTACGAATTTTTTCAGATGTGCTCCAATTTTTGATTACTAAAGTGCATCTTGTAGCCCACGTGTTACTGATCATTTCTGACACCTACATGACCTACTTCTGATGAGTGATGAGTAAGATATTGAGTTGTGAAGTTAAGGTTTTGAGCATTACATGTTGACTTGTGACTGTAAATTCGAGATTCACACCAATTCTTTATTTGCCTTATAACTTTTTTCATACACCTCCGCTACTATTGACTTAAAGTTTGTACATTATGTAATCCACTCTTCTGCGTTGAATGGGCCATCTACCAACCTATTCTGACGTCATTTGACATATGCAATTAGCTGAAAACCTCCATTTTCCACGAAATTCACCCATTTCCTCCACTTTTCACAGCTGCTACTCTCTTTTTCTTGCTCATGTAATATGACATCATCCTCTATAACCTTAAAAACCCCGGAAAATCTTCTTGGCAACCTTAAATTCCATCACTACCACTATTACATAACCAAACTACACGTGTACCTCTTGTTTACCAACTTCGAAAAAGTGCCTTTTCCCTAATAACTGCTGTTTCTCCTTATCAACCTTCAGGATTAATATTGTCATAGTATAATATAATGCTGTTCTTTCATATTCTAACCTCATAATACCCATAACTTTATTTTTATTAACCTAAAAACCATTTTCCAACCTATGTACCTATAATTTCAAATTTTTCTTATGTTTTTCTTTCTTTCTTTTTGTAATGAGTTTGTAAGTAAACTATAATGATCTTAATGAATAATTTGAAATAAAATGATGTAATTTTAACCTAATGACCAATACATAAGCCTACAAGAGCTTCAATTGATCTAAAAAAACCCTCATTTTGAATTTTCTTTCCTGCTGAATCCTGCTAATAAACTGGTAAACTGGTAATTGTGAATTTTTTAATTGATCCCATAAATTGATCACCACAACGCGCGTCGAATGTAACCAGGTGCCAAGGCAACCAATTCACTTCCCCACAAGGGGTATCACCTCATGGTGACCCGGGACTTTTTGAGCAGCGCGGCTCTGGCGAATCGCAAGCTGGTTGGATGGGTCCCTCATGACAACTCAACAATTTCAATGGATCCAATGACCCTTTTCAAGTTCATCCCAATAAAGCTTTGTACCACAATCCCCTATCGGCCCCAACCCTCAAGACCTTTGAAGATATGGCTAAGCACGCTGGGCTGGATGCGGTGGCTCTTGGTTTTGCAATGATGCACGTTGAGGTGAGTTCTTTCTCATACGCACTCTACTCACTGTGAAAATGTGCTGAAGCATCTTTGTTTGCCTCCTCATCGTCAAGGTTTTTGGCAAAACTAACCGTTACTTGGCTCATACAATCATGCAAGGCCGAATGCAGAAGGAGGTCACCAACTTACGGTCGCAAATCGCCACTCTGACAGAGTCTGCTGCTACCTTGACTGGAATGGTGCAGGCTCTGGCCAATGCCCCACAATCCGCCAGGAATGAACGATTTGGTAGCCCAAGCTCCAATGACAAAACAGGTTGGAGTGCTAGTCCTGCTCTTGTGGTGTGTTGCCAGTTTCTTTCAGTCACAGTTAAGTGGAAGTCTGAAACCTTTTATACCTTTCAGCCCGTCATGAATACCATTGCCCTTGAGGTTGTTATGTCTCCTGCGTTGAGTGCGTACACTGCAATCCAGAACAAAGTTGAAGGGGTTCTTCCCAATTTGTTGTTCAACGGGATTAAGGTAAGCTCACAACAAGTCAGGTGAAGTAACATTATGTGTCTGAAACTTGCTAAATTTGTAGTTGAAGGTAGCCCAGAGAGGTGTGGGGTTCACTTCGAAACATCTTCCTGCCCAGCATGAAGGAGTCAATGACGTGTTTGCAACCAGGAAGTACTATTCTGCCATCAAATATTGCGGCAAGCACGCTAGGGAGAAATTACACATCATGGTGCGTACTAGTGTTGTGTGCTTGTTGACCAACGTGATGAAACTGATGTATTACTGCCGCTTTTGACAGGTATTCACAATCCTAACACTACACAAAATGTCATCTTTACTGGGCGGTAAAGAAAACTACTGACATAGAAAAGTCCTGAGGCAACAGGAAGAGAGCTAAAAATCTGAAAAAATATGCACCTTGTTCCTAGATGTTGGGGCGTCATGACGAGTATTTTTTTGTATTTTACACGCAGATATTGGTTCATGTACTAACAATAAAGGCTGAGAATCATCAAAAACCCACCTGTAACAATACCTGAAATTTGGCCCTTGACTTTGAAGACAGGATTTTGGAATCTTCAAACATCAATAACTTTTGCAGTTCTGAATCAAATCACTCGATTTGAAGTGCATTAAAAAGGTGAGCCTTTCCTCTACATTTTTCATTGAGACATCACATCTGTAGCTGGTCTAAAAAAGATCCTACAGAGCTATTCATGCAGAACTGTTTGAACATATGTAGAGTGTTTAAATGACTAGATAGCACCTTACTAACATTATGAAGTGTGAAGGAGAATAGTTCAGCTTTTGAATGAACCAAAAATCAAGATATTTGGAGCAGAATTGCAAAAGTTATTGAAGTTTTTAGACCACAAAATATTTTCTTCATACTCATGACCCAAATTTCAGGTATTGTTACATGTGAGTTTTTGATGATTTTCAGCGTTTATTGTTAGTACATAAACCAATATCTACGTGTAAAATACAAAAAAATACTCATTATGACACCCCAACATCTAGGAACAAGGTGCATATTTGTTCAGAATTTTAGCTTGCTTCCTGTTGCCTCAAGACTTTTCTACGTCAGTAGTTTTCTTTACCGCCCGGTAAAGATTACATTTGGTGTAGTGTAAGTTTGGTGAAGCCGTTGACCAGGCGGTACCATCTTTCAGGTGCTGGTCCAAATAGTCAGTGTTTGTCTTCTTTGCATTGTTCTTCCATTTTGGTAACCATTCTGATCAATATTTGGTCGTAGGTGGCTACCCAATGTGGTACTGTGGGTACAAACTGTCACGTTGATGCTGTCTGGGCGGCAACCACTCAACCAACGCGCGCATGAATTGCCTATCTTGTAAGTGATGACAATTTCCTCTCATGTGGTAGCAAAGTTCTTCACATTTAATGCCCGGCTGACCCCAATCTATGTCATGTTCTGGGTGTGGATTGGCAGCGCCGTGAAGCTGAGCGAATCATAATGAAAGGGGGAAGAGGGAGCAAATTGATTTGGCGCTGCGTCAATAAGCAATTAGCCAGTTTGCGTGCAAGGAAGGATGAAAGCTACTCTACTGCGTAAGTGAATTCACTCCTTGTTAATAAGGTACTCTCTCGCATGACTGACTGTCTTGGTCTGATGGTTTCTATCAGATTATCTTTGATGAAGATTGCCAGCATTTTAATGGCAAAAACTATTTTCCGGCCCTCAAGGCAAGGAAGGTCAATTTCAATCTACCTTTGGAGGAGGCCGTATTGGCTTGCGTGGCTCTAGTCGCCGCTCAAGCCGCAGCTCAGGCTCAAAACGCATTGAACCCCACCGGCCAGGTGTAGGCACGGATGCGCACAAGCTTTCCAAAGAAGCTTTGCACCGCTTGACGAATAGCGAGTCATGACAAAAAATCACATGATACAAAGCCATGGAATGGCTACGCAAATTTACTGAAAATCATGTTGTTTCCTTCTTAAATCTCTTCTCTTGATTAGTGAAATTATATAACTACTTGAACTGCATTGAGCCGCATCAAGAATCCCATCTTGAGCCTATTACCATTGCATTCATTGCCATGTTTTGGCGTGGACTAGCTATCCGTATTGACCCAGCTGAGTGCGACTCAAGTGGATCTCACCGGGCGCATGAGCGACCCGAGGGGATCTCGCCCATCCCAGGCCTGGACAATTCCCGGAAGGCTCTGGAACTTTTTAGACCTAGACCGTCGCGAGGCGGTTTAACAGCGGCCAGCATGCGCCTGCCTGGCCGCCTGCGGCCCAGGCGCTAAGTCGCCCAGCAGGCAAAAGCTCAGCAGGCCAGCTGTAGACCGCCAATCAATGCAGACAAATAGACCGCCCTCAGACTCGTCTTCTTGACAGCCCCAAGGCCGCCAGGACACCCCCGTGGTGTATTCCGTTGGGCAAAAAACCGACCAAACAGTTTCTGAGTGCCATTGAGTTGTGATTCAATTTTTTAGGATTGTTCAGGAAAAATCACTAAAACAATATCAAAGCCGACAAAAAAACTTGTTGTTTGCTTTGCTTTGCAAAAGAATCACCAAAAGTAAACTGGTGAGCTGTGTTCTTGATCATTCCAAAGCCCAAACAATTCAAAAAACAAGAGCAATTTGCGCCACTCAAGCCACCCAAACATTGTCTTTCCACCTTTCACAAAGCAGAGCCACCTACCACCTAGGCTCTTTTGGAGCTCAGCTCAGTTGAAAAGGCCTGTCTTCACACCCAAACACTGACTTTGAGTGACCTGGCAGAGCGACAGGTCTGTGAAACCTGCACACAGTTGTTTGCGACCATCTTTGACTTGCTTTGACTCCCTTCTCAAAGGCGCAAAACTGGTTGGTTGGTTTTTTGCCCAACCCCTACTGTCCCATTCAGGATTTTGTAGACGGGGTGTAAACCATACAGGCTGTTTACTCAGCTTGACTAAGCCCCTTGCGGGGCCGCATCTGCACCCTTGAAGGAGTCTTATGACTCAAACAGTTTTTTTGGCTGTGTGACTCCAGAAATTGAGTACCCTTATTTTGTTTTTCTGGTCTCTGCTCTTCCCATTCTCTTAAATTTATCAGCCCTTCAATTATGTTATTCTTTGTCGGATTGTACATAACATGGTACCACTTTCAATGCAAAATCAGCCCTGTGATGCTTTCTGCAGACATGATGAGAGTGGGATGTTATGTCCTGCTGCATGTAACAGAGTAAGAGTCCCTGTACAGGACTTGTGCAATCTTTGGAGGTTTGGTACTTGACTGAAACTTTTGCTGAAACTGACAAAAGCCAAAATCCCTTAAGCACTGTGTACCAAACTCCCCAGCTGCAAAGCCCGCAGGGTTTTGGACAAATCTATTGGAGAGCTACCAAGTGCTCCTTGAATTGACCGTGGAGAAATTTTGTAATAAAGGTGTGGAATCCTTGGATGATTCAGTGGTGCAGATTTTATTATCAAATGATCATGCTGATGTTCCTGTCTATAGGCAAAGCAGTAAGCATAGTGATTTAAATATTGTGCAGATTGGTGACCAGAAATGTGCAAACCAAAGTACCTTGCTTTTTTGTTGTTTCTAAACAACTTAGTCCTTGTCAGTCAGTTTGAATCATCTACTGGAACTTTGGAGCTGCTAAGATGATACATATGTGGATATCAGATCATCCGCAATTTTTTGCGTCAAATTTGGAGTTAGTTAACCTAAAGTTAAAGATTTTTAGCCGGAGTTAAGTAATCTACCACAGAATCCCACAGTTGTTGTCTTCAACTTGGAGTTAAAGAAGTCTAAACTCCAAGTTAAAGACTGGGCCTACAGTCGTCAGCTCTAGCTGGAGCTAAGCTGTCCTCAGTTTTCAAGCAACAACCCGATTTGTTGTTTTTAATTCATTCTCAACAATTTTTTAACATAAAATGAATTGTTTCACTTTCATCAGTGGCCCTTTTTGATCACTTTTTAGCACATAATCATCATCTACAGTTGCTCCTTTGTTTGGGTATCATCTATCAAGGTGATCTCAATCTTTCACCTTTGATCGATCTACTCTCTTTCAATTTATTGCTTGATCAATTCCATCATAAGCGTGTATTCTTCTTTCTTTGAACAGCTCCATCATTGTCTAAGATAGTATGCAACTAAGTGATTGAGATCAATGCAAAAAGAGAAAAGAAATTGAGGTGAAGGTGAAGGTGGGAGTGGCTGACAAGGTGTTAGTAAAACTCAAGTTGGGATTGAGGTACATTGTTAAAGTTGTGTAGGGGTGATTGTACTTGAAGATGAAACGAAAATAAGGTGCAATCAAGTGTTGAGTGAAGAATCAAAGCAGATTTCAGTATGCAGTTGGTGGTGTAGAAGGATGTGGACGAGTGTGGTGTGGTGTTTTCAAGGGCATGGAGTTAGCTACAGTGTCGGTAGGCTGGGATAACTTTGTCCCAGCCTACTGTTTTTTTGTTGCAAAGCCAACTAACAATCGGTAAAAATTTGACCATTGTGGAATTTTCAAAATTGGTGAGCTAAATAGTTAGCTATTCCGGCAAGCTAACCCGACGATTGTGGATGCTCTTAGTGTGGAAGCACAACATCTGTGGCATCTCCAACCATGTCTGCTATGGTTCATTTCCTTCTTGGTTGTAGTTATCCAGAGTGGCAAGCCAAGCCGCATGCCAAAGTTGATTGTCTTAATAAGATACAAGACCTGCTCATGTCAATTAATGGACTTGCAGGCTTTGTATCTGATAAAGAACACAAAGATTTTTATCTCACATGGGCCTTATTGACATGGCTATGAGATATTATCTTATCTTTTCTTTCAGTAAGAAATTATCTAACAGTATTAAGTTAGCTCTTGATTCTCACTGAAATTTCTCCCTCAGATATGTGTGTTACCTCTCAGGATTATACTTTGCAAGATTAACAAACTATCAAGACAGGCCAAACTCTGTTAACTGTTCCTGCAGCCATCAAGTAAGTGTTGTAGCTCTAAGAGAGATGCAAGAGATGAGTCACAGGTGATCTTGTAAGTATAATAGATTGCTAAGTGAGGAAAGGCAAAGTCTGCACTCGTAGCAAAACTAATAGCGGACTCTACAACTACATGTAACACACGTGACAGGTCATAACAGTAAGCTCCTGAACTCTGAGAACCCAGATACATTTGAACCTCCTGGTTTCCTGAATAATGAATCAAGGTTGAAAATGGTTCAGAAAGAAATAAAACTGAAATGGCCCAAATCTTACACTTTGGTAGTGGCCAGTCAGCAAACTTACACTTATCTGACTTTTGTCTGTGCCAGCTGACTTCAAATTATCTACCATCCACTCCAGCCACCACTCCAGCCACCACTCCAGCCAAATTTTTCCGGGGTCAAAAATGGAGGAACACAGTATGTATATTCATACTGCTCACACAATTGATCTACTTCTCTTAGGTGAGATATGAGGACAAGACATCACATAAATTTGGGATTTGATCACAAATCATTGGATTATAAAATCACTAGCCATTTGGGGCGGCAGGCGCCGCACTGGTCATCTGATTACAGGCCAATGTCCCTATGTACAAATCAATAAATCAATCAGTTTGCAATCACAAAGGTGAACAAAAGAGATGAAAAAAGTTGCAAAGAAAGATAACGCCATGCAGAGTAGCCTAAAATCAAGTCAGAAGAAGACTCAAACTTATTGGTACCTGTTTTAGATGTTTTGAAACTTATGGAGTTTCTAGAAAGGCTTTTTGAATCTCTTGATGAACAACTTAAAAACCAAAAGTCAATCAAAGAGTCACTTGGCCAAAATCCAAGTCATGACATAATAGATTCTCTTCAAATTTGAATTGCAAACTCATGTGCTTCTGTGATTGTTTCATTGTATTATTTTTAAATGACAATCAGTGAGTTCATTATTGCTTCTAGAAGCTGCTAATGGAGATAAAGTGAAACAACCAAGTTGAAGAGTAACATATAAAGATTTGATTGAAAAGTTTAATATGCAATTGTTATTTATGATCCATCATACTTGATGCAAATGAAAATAAACTGGTTGATTCATTGAAAAATGCTGTGCAGTTGACTTGAAGCAATTGATGTAATTATGTGAACTTCAATGATTCCTATAAGTTAGCTGTTGGTCTTTCAACATAATTCTGATATGCTGAAGCTGAAGTATATGTCATCTTGATCTATTTGTAATCACATCCTTTGCTGATGTTCACTGTGATTTGTTTTTTTTGATCTAAACTTACATCTATTAGCCACCAAATCAATTCCTCCAACTTTACCCCATTCAGCAAATGGAACAACAATGGCTGACATATTAACACAACTATAAAAGAAACCCACCAAAAAAGAGAAAGGATCAGCCTTTGCTATATGAGAGGATTGGATTGTTATATTTACCCTCTGTTTTTCAGCAAAATATATAATTAATTCTGTGCTTTTGTGTTGATTTCAGTACAACACCAATCATACTTTCTTGATTTGACATGAATTCTGAAACACCATCTGATACTATTACTATAAATGCCTATTCATCACCTAAATTGAAAATTTAATCAAAAAGACATTGTCATCCAAAAAAAATTCATCAGGTTCAAGATTTTGACACAAATGAAAAAGATTGGATTTTGAAGGGTTTTTTACCTTTTAATACTTTTTCAACAATATCAGGTTCACCAGTTACGCCTAGTTTTTCAAATCTAGAATCATTTAAACCACATCTTTCTTAATCTTGCAAATTCAACTCTAGATTCAGGATGGTGAGTTTCAGTAATTGGTAAGACTTTTCCTGTTAAAGTCTGACAAAGTAATGCTAATGTATCACCTACATGCGCTATTGCAAGTAACATTAATGGTGATGGATCAAATAGATGAATTTTTGAAATCATTGTGGTTGGTAATGTGTTGAGTAAAGCTATTGTTCCTACTGATCTTGCTTTTGGTGTTGAAGTGATTAAGTGCTGATCTACTTGTAAAAAAGAATTTTTATTGGATTAAAACTTTGAATCATATCATATACATCAGATTGCAAATATTCAGACAATTCAGACCCCCATGTCCATCAAGTAATTCAAATAATGCAATACACAAACAGTGATCTACGGTTTTTAATTCTAAATTTGGTTTTAATCTTTCGAAAAGCTCTTTTTCACTTTTTGATGTTTTAATGGTTTATTTGATTTCTTGGAGTTGAATTTTATACTCGAGATTGAACTCCGGTTTTTCATGATACAGTCTTGCTCAATGTGATTAAGATGTTCCCGTTAAGTTTGAAGTGGTTAAGTCTATTTTTAGTTTTCCATTGTTGAAATTTGATTGATTTGGTGAGTTTTCACTTGATGGAAGCTGTGATGATCAAAACTCATGTGGAAGTTTTTGGTCCTGGTGTTGATGATGATTGAATGATTTGATGATTTTTTCATAATCAAGATTGATGGTGATGTAACATAAGACATTCTATTTGAGGATTAGTGATCCAAAGGAGTTGATGAGTTTGTTGAGACCAAGTGCTTGAAGTTGAACAGATGAGAAAGAAGGATGGGTGTTTTTTGAGAGAACTGTTTATCAGTTTAATCTCACAATCTTAACTCAAACACCTTAAAGACCTCACCAATTGCAAGTTTGTATCTATCGCAACTGGTTGACAATCCAATCTTTATGAAAAAGGTGTAAACATCACATTAAATACAATCATCTCATTCAACCATTTCAGGATTCGGCGCGAGCACTGAGGACGAAGATATGTATTGGATCGATTGCTTTGATACTGCTGTATTGACTTTCTCGAGGTGTGTAACGACTGCCGGAAAGCTAATACCCAAAAATGCTGTCGAACAGCCTAGAAACGAAGTAAATTGAGAAAACAAAAGTTAGAACGTTATGGAAAGCCCTTGGCCATGTAACAGATAGATTCCGGTTGGTTGAAGGGTGCCATGTACCGGTCAAATGACTATAACGTTTGGTGTTCAACCTTGTATTATGAGTCAAATAAGGACTGAACTTGTGTAAGAGTGCTTCAATGCTAATCGGATGTGAGTAGTATTGAAACGTGACGTCTTGATCGATAGATTTTAAACTAAATTGAGAATCACAATGATGGAAATCGATTTGGTTTCATTTGAATTAGACTGGAAATCTAAATCGCGAGGTACAATCACAAAAGCTGTCTAAAAAGAAAACCAAACTGGCATCAATATTTACATCAGTCGTTCGATTCAACTTTCTGTTAGAAAGAAAACTTACTCTAATCAATACATTTGAAACTGCCCGACGTAAACTACCAGTTCTTTCTAATTGTCTATCACTTATTACATTCTAATCTGATTCGAAGATGAGAAGTATTAGAATTAGTAGAAACCGATAAGCTTTGAGGAGTTGAAGATTTCCTATATTCAAGTATGGAATTGATTGAATTTGTTTGAGATTCAGAAGCAAGAATTAAAGCATCTTTTCAAAAGAAAAGAAAAGAAAACGAAAAAATCAGTTTTTGTTTGGATATGGATATTGGGAATAGATAACAAATGAAAAAAAGAAATAAACAAAGACCTGAAAGAATTGAAGGCTGTAAAAAAAGACCATCGTTCCGGTTATAAATGTAGTTGATTGTCCTTTCCATAATTGCAAGAAAATCTTCAGCACACCATCTAAAGAGTTATTTAAGCATACGGGTAACTCCTTATTAAACTGATCTAGATGAAATGTATTCTGGTTTTAATCTTTCTTCTGGATCAAATAGTCGTGGTTTTGGTTGTTTTGATGAATTTGTCACTGGGTATTGATTGGCAATTTGATGAAGCTAATGAGATTCTTGGAGCCATACAAGTCCCAGTAAAATGAAAAAATGAGCCAAGACAATATGTAAAAAACGAACCAAAAAACCGATTAAAAATTATTTGTTGGGAAATCACTCACTGAGCAGTTTCATCATCAACGTCATTGTCTTCTGCTGAATCCAAATCATCATCAAATGGTTCATCTAAATTATCATGCTTCTTTTTTATTAAATTTTTCTCCGATAGATCATCTTTGAGTATCCATTAAAATCCCATAAACCCAGAATCAAATGAACTTATAAGTTTTTGTGATAAATCCTTTGTATATTTATTTGAATCAAATTCTATATCTAAATCACTTAAGAAGATCTAGAAGAGTTATCCATATTGAAGTTGATGTTTATGTTTGAAATGTTAATGAAAGTTCTCTGAGTGATCGATGGTTTGGAGTTGATGATGATGATGAAGTGGTTGGATTGGATTAATGTGTGATCCCATTTGGATTGATTTGTTTTGGTTGATAAGCCACTTTTGCGTGAGAAGCAGGGAGTTTAATCAGGTTTTGGGCAAACCAAGTTTGCTCTCAACCTGTATGATTGTATGATATGATATGATTCCTACGGACATTGAATGATGTTTGTTCAGTGGCATAGGACACGGTGAAATTCATCATGATTAGGTGTGCCCGCCTGGGTAGGAGACTTATGTGAGGTGTTATGAATAAATTATAAGTCCGGTGGATTGATTGTTGATTATACATGTTTGGAGATTTGATAACCAAGAATGAAACGATAGGCAGTTGATGATGGGCTGTGGTGGGTGTTGCCTTGAAAAACATTATTCAGTCGTTGATGGGATATCATATTGCCTACTTGTTAACCTGTGTGAAGGAGATCATGAGATTTGCAAACAAAAGTGTGATTGTGGTAGTAGTTGATTGGCATCACCGACGGGTGAACTCACTATGAGAGGACAATTTGCACGCTAATTGAGAATCACGGCAACATAAGATGTCTGCGGATGGGTATGTATTAGGCTGATTGCAAAACTTCGCTTGTGTATTTTTGCCAGAGTTTTGTATTTGAAGTGCCTTTGTGGTTAAATGTAATGATCTTTCATTTTCCAAGTTACCTCTATATAACAATTTTTGAATACTACCTTTGCTAAAAAGGTTGACCGGGTCGACCGCGAAGGAGAAGAGAAGAGATGCCAAATTTGGCCGCAGCGCCTGCTGCGCAGCGCATCCAAATTCAAATTTCGCTCGATCCAAAAAACAATCGGGTTGTCAGAACACTCAACGTGACCTGGTGGTTATGATAGATACCAAGATTGGTCACGACCGATATTCAGTTGATTTAGATTATGACAAAGTCGCGCCAACAGCTGGCTTATGCGACTTGTTCCGATTTCATCTATATCTTGCTGATTCGAGGAAATGAAAAGCGCTGTGGACTAGCAGTATACAGTAGTAGGTGGCGCATTGCTCAATATCAACAATGGTTGTAGTTGCTTGTGGGTTCAATCCCCAGGGTGTAGCATTTTTGCTGAAATTTGGAACAAAATTGAGAAGTACATCTCAGAGATGTGTCAGTGCCATCATTGTTCCATAATGACCCTCTTTGAGCTTTTGGTGGGTAAGGAAAAAAAAAGTTTTTAAAGACTTCTGCTTTCTTTGTATCATGAGGTCAACCCACACAAGTTCAAAAATATCAAGGCGACTCGAACACGCGCCGAGCTGTGCACCGCGATGACAAGGTTCTCACACCTTACCGTTGCACCAAGAAAGCTTAGATAAGGAGTCCAACGATGAGTTTACGATCATCAAAGATGAGTCGCAGGTCGGCTGTTTGAACGATCTCAATGTATTCAGCTAAATACTGATTGTAACTAATCTCATTAGTTGCCGTAAGACGGTCACAATGAGTGTTTTGACAACTCGATCATTTTTTGGATCGAGCGAAATTTGAATTTGGATGCGCTGCGCAGCAGGCTGCGGCCAAATTTGGCATCTCTTCTCTTCTCCTTCGCGGTCGACCCGGTCAACCTTTTTAGCAAAGGTAGTATACCTTGTATGTCTCCAGAAAAATGTAAATCATAACACTAAAGGCACAACCCAGTTTCTCGGCGAAACTGGATTAAACCCCTAAGACAAGCTGTACACTAAGACTCCGACCCCCTTAGGCTCAGCTGGTCCCAACGCCACCTCTCTTCATGGCCTGTCAAACCACTGTGAGCTCTAGATGATCTAACCATTTGATTAGATTTCATCCATAATGGTAGCGCAGCTATTGAACCTACTCTAGAAGATTGGATCAAGATGTCTCACATTCATCATAACTTACTCAACAATCATTCAAACAAAATGGAACAAACCGAAACAGATTCTTTGTCTGATCCTCTCAAACAGCCAATCAAGGAAGATGTAATTGCCCCACCGATAGGAAACTCAGGCTTGGATGAAAAGATAGAAAAGAAAGAAGATAGTCAATTGAAGGTAGCTGAAGGACCTCCATTGGATCATTTATTTGATGATGACATTGATATGAAGAATGCTCCATTGGATCCGGAAACGTGATTGCATTTTCTGTTTTGTCTTCAACTACTCATTTGACAAAAACAAACTTGTTTATTCTAACATAAAAATTTGCTTTGATTCATAACGAAACATTATCACAAAGATCGTGGTGTTGGGCTTCATGAAAAGATGGAAAAGAAAGAAGAAAGTCAATCAAAATTAGATGAAGGACCGGCATTGGATCATTTATTCGATGACGACATTGATGTGGAGAATGCTCCATTGGATCCGGAAACGCGATCGCAAACTTTGTCTGGCCTTCAAAGTACTCATCAGACGAAAACCAACTTGTTTATTCTAACATAAACATTCGATTCGATTCATGAGATTTCTTTGTCACAGGCATCGTGTTCTTACGGCTTACAATGATCCTTGGGCTAATCTAATCCATATGCGATAGGCAAAGCACGCCAAAACATGAGCCCGGTTGACGGTCAGATCCACCCAGAAAACAACTCATGGGACGGTCTTAATATACCAAATGGGGTTCAAGTAAAAAGCACATCCACTCACTTGATAGCTGCAACTCCTTCCTTTTCTTCTCAATCTACTTTTGAAAACGTAACTTCACAAGCCGGGCCTTCGAGAAACCAACGAGGCGGTAGAGGTTGAAGGGGAGGTGGAAATCGTTACCGAGGAGGACATAGCAATTGATGTCCACGTCAATAATCGAGGTCACTCTAATGGTACACGAAGTGATACTTACCACTCTAGACCTTTTGTCCCGTGGAACCAAAACTTCACCAGTTACCCCCAAACCCATAACCCCGCCCCAATTTATTATGGATCTAATCAGTACAACACAAATCACCAATCTAACAATTTACAAACCTCAAGTGATGTCAAACTATCGATGACTTTTTCCTTGGAAGCAACTCTTCTTATGGTTGAATCAAGATCATGGTATCTCAACGATGTATTCAATGAAAAACAAGTGTGATCTTTGACCAAAAAAACATGAACTCATGAAAAGATGAGTCAATCTTCAATAGTACCAAACTACGCCTTTACACATCAAGAGTTTGCTGTCACCCTTCAAAATGAAGCTTACCGAAGATATAACTCTTATGCAAGTCATGTCAAATTACAGAAGGATGTCATCAGATCAAACCCTACGAGATTCGAAATTGGACCTGCTTATACGGCTCAGCCCAAAGATCGATAACTGGTCTCTAAAGCAGCTTTTAAACCGATCTTAAGAGAATTAGTCTTTGATATCGATATAACCAATTATGATGACATTCGAAGCTGTTTTTCGAGCAAGAATTTGTTTAAAGTGTTAGAAATTCATTACCATCACTGTACAAGTTCTAGATTTATCATTACGAGAAGATTTCGGATTTCAACATCTCTCATGGGTTTGTTCTGGTAGAAGAGGTATTCATTGTTGGGTATCAGATGGAGAAGCTTTGAAATTAACCGATGAACAGAGGAAAGGGATCGTTAACTTTCTTGATATCTTAAGGGGTGGGGGCTCAAGACATGGTTTGAAAGTGTCCTTGACACATCTGGTCTTGATCTGTTCCGTGGGTTTCTAGCCTTTATGCCAGCTACATACTTATCACTCACCGTGAACATGCTGGCGATTTCGGGCACACATCATGCGTCAAGTGCCGAGGCTAAGAAGAAAGCAGTCGCAAGCTTCTAAACGCCTTCATTCATCTTGACCTCCCATGAAATGTCAGAGGGCGAGGTACAGTTATATGTGTACTTCTTCGACAATCATGCCTAACTTGTATGTAACTTTTGTTTGACTGTTGCGCAATCATCGCAGAACTCTTAAGTGGTGATTTATTGAACATACGTCGTTCTATCTATTTGATAGGTTTGTTGGCCCAAAAATTGTCGTCATCAATTTCATGCTGAGACTTTTCCTCAATATCAATGGAAATTCCGTATATAATCACTTACAAAACGCCAACGTTCTGTGACACAACTAAGCCACTCATCAAATTGAATTCCATGAAGAATATAGCCGACAGCGATCATGATCCAGGGACTTTGAGAGTCCTGTGGTGATTTCCTAACTATCAAGCATGCCCATTGGTGCGATTTGGTGACCGAGAGAAGTTCATGCGAGCAGATCTGATCACCTTGCATGATAAGTGTCACCCATATATTGAAGTTTTTGAAAAACATATAAATAAGATTGTAAAAGAAAAAATCAAATCTAAAAAACGCGAGCTTTTCTTTTTGTTTATGTTGATTTTCTCTCTTGCTTGTTTTGGTGTAAACTAATGATTGATTACTTTTTTTTGAAAAAAAATACAGAAGCGCAGATGTCAAATAAAGCTCAATCTATTGAACTTTGGAAGTCTGTCATTCTTTTTCTCCTGATTTAAAACTTTTCTTTTCATTAGAAATCACAACACGCCTCATCCGATCAAACTAGATACCTAATCATGCATATCCTCTCATTAATTCAAAAATAATAAATCATTCAAACTGAAACTCACCACGAAGGAAAGCTTTGAAAATAATTTATTCAATCTTTAAAACATTGACCAATTTATCACATCAAAATCTAATTTTATATCAAACCAATTTGATGAATTTATTACAAACATATTTAGTTAGTATGACAACTTCTTCTTTAAGATCTATTAGACATACTTCCACGTTTCTTTGTTTGTTTGGTTTGATGAGCTCATTTATTGATATTTTGATTCAAGTTGTTGTGGAATTCATTCAATTGAATAAAAAGGTATCAGATTTTGAAAGTAAAAATCATCATAATAATTGATCTGGAAGTGATGAAAGATTAAATGAATGGGCAAAAAGGAATAGTTTAGTTAGTGATCAGAAAGAGAGTCTTGAGAATCGTATACATGATCTCTTTGCTGAGTTAGTCAATTTTCTTTGCTCTTAAGAAGAATGAGATTGACAAAGTTGACTTTATTGCACAGGGTTCTTGTTCATCAATATCGAGATTCAGATCCCAAGATCTGAATCAAATGCGTTCAAGCTTTAGGTCAATGGATGAACCAAATTCCTGATCACTTTTAAGTGATCATTATTTGAGGTATTTGGGTTTGGTCTTGAGTGATACTGTAAGATTCTTTCTCATCCCTCTACCACATCATTTCATCTTCTTTGAGTCTAAAACCTGGTTTTTGTGTTTGGATCAGAACAAAGAAGCTAGATTTGAAGTCATGAAAGCTCTGAAGAATTTATACTCAACAGAAGATAATCTAGGACCAATGCAACATTTTACTACCCAATTTAAATCAACATTTTAATAAATTGCAATAGGAGAACCTGAAATCAATACAAGATGTTCAGCAATAGAAATCTTAACAATTTTAGATTTGCATAGAGGAATTTTAAAAAGTTTACAAAGAAACCAATTAATGAAATTGATCTTGATGAGGAAAGTTGAGTAAGGCAATCAATTAGTAAACTTTTCAAAAAAAAATTAAATGAGGTTTATGATTCTATAAGTTTTAAAATTGGAACTAATACTTTGAAATATAATAAGAAAACTAAGGAAGCCAAAATGTTGATAGTAGTACGGAAAATGAACAGGTTGAAAACAGTTTGACATTGACCACTCTGTTGATTAAGTTTGGAAAGGATAGAGATATTCCAATTACAGGACATAAAGATCAAGAAGATTATTTGAGTTCCAAGTCTACAAACCAAACCCAAAGATAAAGAGGAAGATAAAGAAGCTACGGATGATGAAGGTAGGAACAAATAGATAATAGGTATTGAGTCCCTGTTGAAATTCCCTGAGAAGAGTAGGTCTGCTTTAGCAATTGAAAGTCCATGGGATGAAATTGATGTGATATGTGGATGGCAATTGATGTTGGATTACTTGTTATTGGACCGTTCTACTGTTATCACAAATACAACAAACAATGTTCAAACCTTAATTCCAAATAAAAATTGACATTGATCATTGATGAGACCTGACAAAGAAGAGGAAGGAAATGAAGAATTTAAATCAGTTGAAGAAGGATGTAAATTAACTGAAAATGAAGAAAATGTTCTACTTGAGATCTCTTTAGTTACTTTAAGGGAGTAGGTTCAGCCTGTTGAGAAGATCTGTGCTAGGGTGCAAGAGGTTTGTTTTCCAAAGCTAACGTAAGACGGCCCTGGAGGGTCTGACTTGTGCAATCACAGCATGTGGAAAAGGGGAGATCCAAGGGGTGGCACACTACAATAATGCAACCACTTGTACAAACATTTTTGAGAAAAATCAAACAAAAAAATTGTATAAAGAACCAGGAGCAATAAGAATTGTATAAACTAATTTGTTGATAATGATTTTGGACCATCACAAAATACATGTACAAAAGGTAAAAACCTAGACGAGGTAAAGAACATAGATCAGGGGGAATGATTTCTTCAAAAATCATCAACTAGCTGTTTACCATTGAGATCAATGGATTGTTTTAGAAGAAGACCACTGCTGAAAAACTCTCTTGAACTTCTGCTTATAGATCTACCCTAGGCTGGCTCTGATTCCCCAAAACCCCTGTTCCAACTGCAATGAATCAAGTGAAATACTTACAGAAGAAGAACTTTCAATCAAAAAAGAAAAATTGAAGAAGCCAAAACAAAAATTGACACAAAAGGCAAAACAAAAAGAAGGAATGATGACCAAAGAAGATGAAGAAGGAGAGGATGAACAATTGAATTGAATTTAATTGAATTGATTGAAAATTCTGATAAGATTGAAATTATTAGAGTGATGATTGAAGTGTTACCTCAATTTTTTGCTAAATATTCCCATGATTCAATTGAATTATTTGAAATTTTAAGAAGACATAAACTCTTATCTTTGAGTCTTTATCTTGAACTATGTATAGTATCTGTAAATGGTGAAACTTTTTTTGACTTTGATATTCTCTTCCAATTTTCTTCTTTTTATTGATGGACATCTTTTGGTTTTTGTTCAATTAATAAATATCTCAAACAAGCATATCAAAGAACAATAAGTATAATATCATATACAAATAATCTCTCTAAATCATTATCACATAATAAAAATCAAACTTTGAATATATCAATATTTACAAATCACATAAATTTAACTTTTAATTAAGAAGATTAAATGGTTGATTTAGAAACTTTTGGTTTTGAAATGGATGAAATTGATTGATTTAGTTTCGAATTGTGTCAAGTTTTTTACTTTTTTAGAACTAGAGATCTTTATGATTTCTTACTTGGTATCAATAATGATGAAGATGAAGATGGTGATAGAATTCTGGTAGATGGGTCTTTTAAGAGACAAGTTGCTGTTGATATTATTTTTGGAATGGCTAATTGTGCTCAATTAAATTAACCAGAAGAAACAAAGGTAAAGCTGTCACTTTAATCTAAGTCTCTGTCTTCTTTTACTATCATCAAAAGGCTTATTTCTTTCCTTGCAAATTAGGTGGTAGAAGTAGCAATTAATTTTACGGTCAGGTTTAATGTGGAGTTGTGCAAATTCAAGTAAAATTATAAATGAAGTTTCAAGAATTGAAGAAGAAATCGAGAAGAAGAGAAGTTGAAGTAAAAGAATTGGCTGAAAAGGTTTTAGGGTTTAGGGATTGGTTTTTAAATTTAATGAAAAAAATTGCTGTTAATCCTGATTGTATTGCTTGTGATTATATTAAAACGGCAGTTGAGTTTTTGAATATCATATTTTCTTCTCATGTTTTGATTGAATATTCTCACCACTGTTTATGAATCCAGTCACACTTTAGCTAACAATTCTTCTTGGATGTAGCAATGAGATTCCTACACAAAGATCAACGGGAAAGAGTCTGAGAGATTTGTAAATCAGTACCAAACATTCCACTGCAAGAATCAATTGGCAGAGCCTATGTAGTAGGCTATACTTCTCACCCTGATAATACAATTTACACTACACAAAATGTCATCTTTACCGGGCGGTAAAGAAAACTACTGACATAGAAAAGTCCTGAGGCAACAGGAAGAGAGCTAAAAATCTGAAAAAATATGCACCTTGTTCCTAGATGTTGGGGCGTCATGACGAGTATTTTTTTGTATTTTACACACAGATACTGGTTAATGTACTAACAATAAACACTGAAAATCATCAAAAATTCACGTGTAACAATACCTGAAATTTGGCCCTTGACTTTGAAGACAGGATTTTGGAATCTTCAAACATCAATAACTTTTGCAGTTCTGAATCAAATCACTCGATTTGAAGTGCATTAAAAAGGTGAGCCTTTCCTCTACATTTTTCATTGAGACATCACATCTGTAGCTGGTCTAAAAAAGATCCTACAGAGCTATTCATGCAGAACTGTTTGAACATATGTAGAGTGTTTAAATGACTAGATAGCACCTTACTAATATTATGAAGTGTGAAGGAGAATAGTTCAGCTTTTGAATGAACCAAAAATCGAGTTATTTGGAGCAGAATTGCAAAAGTTATTGAAGTTTTTAGACCACAAAATATTGTCTTCATACTCATGACCCAAATTTCAGGTATTGTTACATGTGAGTTTTTGATGATTTTCAGCGTTTATTGTTAGTACATAAACCAATATCTGCGTGTAAAATACAAAAAAATACTCATCATGACGCCCCAACATCTAGGAACAAGGTGCATATTTTTTCAGATTTTTAGCTCTCTTCCTGTTGCCTCAGGACTTTTCTATGTCAGTAGTTTTCTTTACCGCCCGG